AATTTCAAAGGATGGCTTGAGAAAACAAAATCAAATCTTGTAATGAAATGTGCAAAGACCTGGAGCTAGTAAAACAGAAGGAAAGAACAAGCTTAGCATTTTGAAAATTCATTCCTCAGGTTGTAATACTGAAGGATTCTATTGAAAAAACAGAGTCCTACTGTGGTACTATAAGCTAAGCACTGGACTGAAAGGGCAGCAGTTCAAACCTCCACCTGTTTCTAGAGCTCCTATGCATTCGAACGGACTCAAGGGCACTTAATAACCATAAGAAATGGGAAAAATATTTAATGATGCAGGAAGCATCAAAAGATGGAAGGAATATACAGTTACTGTACCAAAAAAAAAAAAAAAATTAGTTGATATTCATTCATGTCATGCAGTATATGACCAAAAACTGGTAGTACTGAAGAAAGAAATCCAGGCTGCACTGAAGACAAAGGCAAAAAAACAAGGCTTCAAGAATTGAAGGAATACAAACAAACCATGGTAGTGCTGGAGGTGCTTACTCATCTATGCCAAGAAATTTGGAAACAGCTACCTAGCCAACCTATTGGGGAAAGATCCATATTAGTGTCCATTCCAAATAAATGGAAAGTAAAAATCATCAAACAATTATCATTAATATCACATGCAAGTACAATTTTGCTGAAGATAATTCAAAAATGGCTACAGCCATATATTGACAGGAAGTTGCCACAAATTCAAGTCAGACTCAGAAGAGGACAAGTAGCAAGGGATATCACTACTGACGTCAGAAGGATCGTGGCAGAAAGATGTTTACTTGTACTTTATTGACTATGCAAAGGTTCTCAATTGTGTATAGTTCATTGTGCTCATGAGGAACCTGTACATAGACCAAGAGGCAAGGCATTAGAATAGAACAAGGGGATACTGCATATTTTAAAATCAGGAAAGGTATATGCCAGGGTTGTATCGTACCACCATACTTATTTAATCTATCTGCTGAGCAAATAATCTGAGAAACTAGATTATATGAAGAACGTGGCATCAGGATTGGAGGGAAACTCATTAACAACCTAAGACACACAGAAGACACAAACTTGCTTGCTGAAAGTGAAGAGCTCTTAAAATATTTACTGATGTAGATCAAAGACTATAGCCTTCAATATGAATTGTACCTCAATGAAAAGAAAATAAAAATCCTCACAACTGGATGAATATACAATATCATAGTAAACAGAGAAAAGTTTGAAGTTGTCAAAGATATCATTTTGTTTGAATCCATAATGAACACTGATGGAAGCAGCAGTCAAGAAATCAAAAGAGGCTTCCGGGGACACTGTGTAGAGGCATTCAAAATGGTCCAGCGTTTGACATACCATTGTAGGCTGTCCTACAATATAGCCTCTCACAAAACTAGGCTGTCCTGAACCCCTGGTAATATTATTATTTACGTCTATACCAAGAAGGAAGGAGCTCTGGTAGTGTAGTGGTTACGAATCAGGCTGCGTACCGCAAGGTCAGCAATTCAAAACTACCAGCTATCCCACAGGAGAAAGCTGAGGCATTCTGCTCTGTAAAGATTTACAGCCTCGGAAACCCTGTACAGGGTCGCTATGAGTCGGAACCAACTCCAGGGCATATAGCCAGCCATACCAAGAAGGTTGGTAAAGCACCAAAACCTGCATGCAGTGTGTGCCCATGCCAACCTCGAGGGATCCGTGCTGTGAGATCTAAAGTTCTCATGAGGTTGTCCAAGACAAAGAAACATGCCAGCAAGGCCTATGTTGGGTGGCTCCACGTGACAGGATCAAGCATGCTTTCCCTATTGAGGAGCAGAAAAGCATTGTGAAAGTGTTGAAGGCACAAGCACAGAGTCAGAAAGCTAAATAAAAAAGGATGGAGTTTTGTTGAATAATAAAAAGGTCAAATGTCTTATTAAAAAAATCAAAAGAGGTATTGCATTAGGAAAATCTGCCTCAAAAGACCTTTTTAAAGATTTCAGTTTGAGGACTAAGGTGAGCCTGATCCAAGTCATGGTATTCTCAATCACTTCGAATGTATATGAAAGTTGGACAGTGAATAAGGAAGACCAGAGAAAAAATTGATACGTGTGAATCATGGGGCTGGTGAAGAATACTGAAAGTACCATGGACTGCCAGAAGAACAAACAAATCTGTCTTAGAATAAATACAGCCAGAATGCTCCTTAGATGTGAGGATGGAGAGACTTCATCTCTCGTACTTTAGACATGTAGTAAGGATGGACCAATCCCTCAACAAGGATATCATGCTTGGTAAAGTGGAGGGTCAGTGGTAAAAGAGAAAAACTCCAAAAGAGATACATTGACACAGTGGCAGCAACAATGGGCTCAAACGTAACAACTGTGAAAAGGACACAGTGTTTTGTTCTGTTGTGAATAAGATTACTATGCAACAACAACAACATAAGGTAAATAACACCAGGGAAGTATACACTCTCTAGAACTAACCATATAAGATCAAAGGGGAGCATTTGCCTAGGGAAAAACTCAGAAAACAGGAAGGGATAGGAAAGAAAGACATGTTGTTGTTGTTGTTACGTGCCATTGAGTTGATTCTGACCCATAGCGACCCTGTATAGTGTTTCCAAGGAGTAGTTGGTGAGCCTGAACCACTGACCTTGCAGTTCAAATGATTTTGCAGTCTGATGCAATAGCCCACAGCGCCACACCAGGACTCCAAGAAGGACATAGGGAAATGGTAAACAGGGAGGAAGTGGGAAGAGTGCTGCTATACTGTGGGGATTGCAATCAGTGTCATGAATCAAAATATCTACATATTGTTGACCAGAAAACCAATTTGTTTTGTAAACATTCATCCATATCACAACACAAAGTTTAAAAAACACATCCATCTTCTCCCCCAAACTAGGAAATATATCTTCTTCTTTTTAACCCCAATTAGCTCTACATAATATCTTGTTATCTCTAAATAATGTTCTAATACTAATTTCAGTTGAAAGAAGATGGTTCTACCTTAAATATCATTTGACCAAGAACCCAGGTCAAATTAATCCTTCAGAGAAACAGCAATACTATTCCCAAAGACTATTCAGGGGAATCCCTGGCAGTCAAGATAGGATAAACGCAAATGGTTAACACAGGGCTGAAATGGGAATTAACAATCAATGTCACTAAAAAAATGTGTATGAATCATTGAATGGAAAACCAATTTGCGCTGTCAACTTTTACCCATATCACAATGAAAAGTTGAAAAAAAAAAAAAAGAATACTGGAAAAGAAAGAAAATGACATATTACATTTGCTGCAAAAGACCTCTTCAAACTGTTAAGAGCAGAGATACCATTTTGAGGATTCAGGTGCAACTGACTTAAGCCATTGTATTTTCAGTCACCTCACACGCAAGGGAAAACTGGATAATGAATCAAGAAGACTGAAGAAGAATTGATGCATTTGAATTAAGGAGCTGTTGTGGAATACTAAATATACCACAGCCTGCCAGAAAAATGAACAAATCTGTCTTGGAAGAAGTGCAAGAAGGCTTCAAAAAGTTCATGAAAGATGGAATTAAAAGACAATAGAATTTTCCCATGAACGTTTTTGAAGCCTCTTCACATAGCCAGAATGTTCCTTAGAAGCAAAGATGGTGAGCCGTCCTCTTATGTACTTTATACATGTTAACAAAGACACCATGTTTAGTAAAGTAGAGGGTCAGTAAAAAAAAGAGGAAGACCCTCAATGAGGTGGACTGACACAGTGGCTGCAACAATGGGCTCAAGCACGGCAAGGATTGTAAGGATGGCGCAGGACAGGGCAGTGTTTCGCTCTGCTGTACATAGGGTCAGTATGAGCTAGAACCAACTAATGGTACCTAACAAGAACAACTATACTTTTTTTCACAGAAGAATCCACAGCCCCCATGAAGAAAGCTGTGAACTAAAAGTCACAGAATCCACTAGGTCCCACTATCTTCAAATGAGGCCTACACTAAGGACAGAGACTAACATAAGAAAGATGTTCAGCTTAGAAAAGCTCCTTCAAACAGTTCTCTAATTCTGATGCCAGAGACAGATAAAATTCTTTTGGAGAAAAATTTGTATATGTCTAAGTTGACTGTAAGGTGGAGGGTCAGAGAAAAAGAGGAAGACCCCCAACAAGATGGATTGGCCAAGTGGCAGCCTTGATGGACTCAAGCATGGCAACAGTAGTGAGGTTGGCCCAGGATCGGGCAGTGTTTCATTCTTCTGTGCATAGGGTTGCTATGAGTCGGTACCAACTCGATGGCATCTAACAACAACAAGTTGACAGCAATGGGTTTTGGTTTTGGTCCTCAGATCATGATCCTTAACATGGTACACAAGGCCTTCTATCATCTAGCCCATAGCTAATATTCAAACTCATATTCTGACTACTCATGGACTCCATTTTCCACCCCAAGTTCCAGCAATAGTTACTTCTTCTAGCTTCCTACATAATAAGAACAAAAAAATCTTTGTTGGAAAAAGTACAGAATACTCCTTAGAAATCAAGATGGCCAGACTTTGTCTGTCTTACTTCAGACATATTATCAGGAAGGACCAGGCTCTGGAAAAGGACATCATGCTTGGTAAAGTGGAAGGTCAGTGAAAAAGAGGAAGACCTCCCAAGGAGGAAACAGTAAAAGGCTCAAGCATAACAATTGTGAGGGTGGAGCAGGACCAGGCAGTGTTTCATTCTGTTGTGCACAGGGCAGTTATGAGTCAGAACAGACTCAACGGCACCTAACACATATGTAGGATGCCACCCGGCCCCATCCTTTTCTCAGTTACACCTTTAAGTACAGGCATAATCTCCACCAGAAAGAACAGCTTCCCACCACTCCCAGTGGCTTCATACTGGATTGAATCCTTTTCTCCTTATCGTCACAATGTTTTATACACTCATCATATACTCATTCTAATATTCCTGGATATGATTCTCCCTTGAGGGTTCCATCTTTGTAACTGCAGTTTTTAGCTAAGAATACTCAAATGTCTGTTGAATTATTTACATTTACCTTTATTTCCTCTATGTCTGCTTTTTGGAGCTTTTCTCTGAAGTGTTTATCTGTTTCCAGCACATCAATCACTTGTTTGAGATATTCATCATAATAAAGTCCAGTATCCTTCAAATGAAGACACAAACATTAATTTTTCCTTCTCTGCATCTAAAAATCTCAATCCTAAAAAATAATTCCTAGAAAATGATATTTAAAGTGTACTTATTCTGATAGTTTTCACTAAGTAAAAAAATTGCATACAAAATTCAAGTGAAGAGTTCTGTATCAGAACAAATACCCATGGTTTGCTGTTACGTAAAGGTAAAACTCCTACATGTCTTAGACAATAAACACTTAATCAACGACACTAATGGTTTTCCTCCCTATTGTCACCCGTCTCACATCATTGCCTCATTGCCTTCTAGCTCTCTTTAAAATGCAATGTTTTCTTGGCTGGCTAACTCTATGTTGAAAATTCTTATAGGTACTATCTAATGTACTAACTATAATAATTAAACATCGTCTGAGATCGGACAATACATGTATGAGGACAATTCAAAACGTACTGCTACAAAGTCACAGAAATATTTATTAAACAAAAATCTCAAAATGTGAAGCTATTGCTTCTCAATATATCCTGTCTAGGTCTATATGCTTCTGAAGGTAGTGTTTTCATCTCTCTATCCCTTCCCTGAACAATCCTATGCTCTTCAATTTACTCCACATAAAAATGAGTTTTGGAAACCTCAAGGGAATCAAATCATGTTCCTTTTAAATGCTCTGAATTTGGGGAACAAAAAAGAACAAAAGGCAAAATCACATCTGTAGAGTGGATGGGGTGAGGTTTCCCATTCATATTCTCATGGGACAGCCTTTGCTACTCTTGAAGAATGAGCAGGTGCACTGTTGTGAAAGAGAAAAAATTCCTCAGTACAACTTTCCTAGTCTTTTTCTCACCGACGTACTTTCCAATTTTTTAATAATTTTTTCAATAAGCCCTCATGATCACCCTGTGTCCCTTGAGAAAAATCTATCAAGATTACCCTTTGTAGGCCCTCAAAAACAGTTGTCATAACTTTCTAAGTTGACCTCTCTGCTTTGAATCTAACTAGCCCAGCATACCATCCTGGAAATCACAATTTCTATTAGGCCCTTTTTTTTTTTGAAGACATCCTAACAAGACTAAGAAGCCCTAGTTGGATAAGCACTGGACTATTAACCGCAAGGTCAGTGATTCAAACCCACCAACTACTCAGAAATCCTATTGAAGATCACTGTGAATCGGAACTGACTCAACAGCACTTAACTACAATAGACTAAGACAAGCCCATTACCGAGAGTGTGTCTGCAGTCAGCCACTGATGCAGACACTGTTTATACGTGTTTTGTTTGGAAAAAAACCAGGTATGTGTGAACTAGAATCCAAGGAGCAATACTGTTCTACTTACTCTTATATATTCACTACTCTTTTCATTACTATTTCAGAAATAGTTCCTAAAAATGTTCAATTTCATAAGTATTAAGTCTTAGCAATATTTCAAATATGATTCCTCCCACAGAATTATCTTTCTCATTTCACTTACTGGTGGTTCTATCTTTGCACTTTCCACAGGTTCAGGACTTTTCACCTTTGTTTTGTCTATGTCTATAGGCACAGCTTCAAAAGCAATAAGGAGACATGTAACCAAGAGACAACACTGTAGTAGGAAGGTCCTCCGCCTCATCTGAAATAAAGGAATAATTATAGTAGAGTCATGAAATTCTGTTTTAGAAATACATTTACATGCATTCCCAATACCACACTAATAATATAGTTAATCTCAAGAAGTTCAATATAACAAAAGAATTCTGGGAAGGGATATAAAGAAATGATAACTTATCAAAAATAATACCTAAAATAGATGACTAAAGAAAACCAGGGGACAAATGTTTTTCAGTCAAAAATTTAAAGGCAAGACAACAAAAATTTTAAGCTTAAACTGCTTATATTAAAATGTTTGGTTATAGACAAAAGCTTCAAATAAAGATATTTTAAAGAGGAACTCAAAATTAAAAAAAAAAAAAAAAGCTAAAGTTTAGGGAAGGAATAAAAAAGAAAAAAATATATTCTTAATTAAAATATTGTTGTTGCTAAGTGCCATCTAGTCGATTGTGACTCATAGCAACCTGAATAGGGTTTCCAAAAAGCAGCTGGTGGGTCTGAACTGCTGACCTTGTGGTTACTTGTCCAGTGATTATCTTACAGCACCACACCAGGACTCCAAATAAAATACTAAAGAGTCAAAGTTATTTCCTGATATGATTATAATTTAGTTTCTGTCTAATTTTGAAAATGTACAGGCTCTGTAACATCAATTGATTACAAAAAACAAATGACAAGCTACAAATATTCTCTTAATCATATTAAATATTATTTTATTATACTCAATTTTCTTTTGCTACAGATTCTTTTTGGTCATTAAGTTTTCAAGTAAATAGATCTGTAAAATCTGAAATCAAGTACGATGTAATGGATTTGAAACAAAAGACAAAGAGCTATTTTGCTGGTTCTACAATATTAATCAAGTTTTGCTTATTTTAATTGCTACAATTCCATAAGAATCTTGTTAGCTCCAGAGGGTCTATTACAAAAATTAGAGTGAATTAGAACCTCATATTTGATATTATACATATAGAATATTTGGAAAGTACATTATTTAACTCAGCCTCCCAAATTTAGCTGTCCATGGACTTTTTACATGTTTTATTCACAGAACATAGTTTGGGAAAGAATGCATTACCTCATTCTCCTGGAAGGCTGTAGTACAATGTATCACTCTACATGGTCCTTCTAGCCATGCATGGTCTTGTGACAAAATTGGTTTGGATTTTGCATATAAGGTACTTATGGCCCACTAAGGGACTACATACACCAGCTAAAAGTGCAAATAAGGTGCATGGAAACCTTGGAAGGGAATGATCTGTTTTCCTATCCCATTAGGCTCAATGGGAGTCAATCCCAGAGGCTGGAGGGGAACCTTATTACCATCAAGAAGAACCAGGAGCAAAGCTTGCCTTTTAGATCCAGAGTCCCTACACTGTGAACCTCCTGGACCCAGGGACAGGGAGAGCTGTAACACTGGAGATGGTACAAGATGGAGAGATGCGGTAGCAGAGAAATAGCAGAACCAGGAGACCTGTGCAAGAGGGTACAATGGGCTTCCTAGCCCATGGAACATGGTTTCCTGGTGGTTTCCTCCATTTACTTGTCTACAGAGCTAACAAGCTTTGTAACATTTATCCACAAAGGGCAGAGGTCAGGGCCAAGAGGAGCCTATCATCAGGGAGCTGAGAAGAGACTTGACCTCAGTGGGGTATACATGGTATGCTTGCTTATATAGCCAAGAGTTGTTGAGAGAGATGTCTTGCAAGGAAGAAGGGAGGATGTGCTCTGCATTTTGGGAAGCCTTCTACTTTGCCTGCATGCTGCCTGATTCTGAGTTGTAGCCTTTTGATCCTGGTCCTGAGTTGAATTTTCGACTTCCCTAATAATCCCGATAATCATGAGTCTGGTCTGTGAGTTCTGTGTGGTCATTGATAACAAATTATCCAACCAGCAGAGAAGTAGAGTGCCATGGGAGGCACGGCTGGAATCAGAGCTGGTAACAAGGCTGGAGAGTAGCCATGTGTTTCACGTCCGTTTCATAGGAATCGGGGGATGGTGATTATCCTCCCCACTTGTGAAGTCAGACGACCTCTGATGCCACATCAAGTTTAGAGGTATATACAGCAGTGACTCATTTTACAGACGAAATAATTCATACTTAATTAGCTCACAGAGCATCATCTTATCATTAACAAACCACTAAACTCACATTTCAATACTAGTTCTAGTCTACTGATTTACATACATCTTCAATGAAATATAATCCACATGCCTTAAAATTCACCTGAAAGTCTGCAACTTAATGGTTTCAGTATATCCACTGAGTTGTGTAACCATCACCACTATCTAATTCCAGATCATTTTCATCACCCAAAAAAGAATCTCATTAGCAATCCTGTTCTCCGAAGGCTCTAGCGACCACTAATCTATTTTCTGTCTCTATAGCTTTGCCTAATCTGGGCATTTCATACAAATGGAATCATATAATACAAAGGGGCTTCAAAAAGTTTGTGGAAAAAAATCCATTATCCTTTCATTCCATTTTTCCATGAACTTTTTGAAACCTTCTTGTATATGGTTTTAATGTCTGCCTTCTTTCACTTAGCATATTTTCAAGATTTATCCAGTACTTGATCCCTTATTCTATCATTTCATGCATCATGAGCTTACTGAATATGTACACTAATGCACACAGTGTATTAGATACTGGAAACATAGCAGTAAGCAAGACAGAAACTCTACCCCACAAAGCTTACATTCTAGAAGTCAAAAAGCTACTGGACCAAAGCTAAATTGAAATCTACCCTGTATCTATATATGGGTATGAGCCAATGCATTCCCTTTATTGCTTAAACTAGTTTATTTTATATGTCCTACTGTTTTCAACTAAAACAGTATTCAAGTAAAACATTATTCTGGCTTGCATTTCCAGAGACAAGCTACTGGAAGATGATCTCTAGGCTCTTGGAATGTTCTACCGAATACGAGTGCCTTCATTTGCCTGGGTGGCTTTGGTCACCAGACAGTCTAGCAATGTGATTTATGATGGGGGCATTGGGTCATGCTGTTCTGCCTCCAGGGAAACTAGAGACTAAAGATATTAATCCAACTTTCAGGACAGGTTGAAGACTGAAAGTTAATCACATGGACAGTATATGCTCATGGTCCAATAAAAACTGGATAGCAAAGGTTTGAGCAAGCTTTCCAAGTTGGCAATACTGTCAGACAGTGATACTGGAGAGTAATGCTGTCTAGATTCTTGGAGGAGAGAATGACTGAATGGTCCAAGTTTGGTTCTTCCCCTGGACTCTGCTGTTTCTTTCCCTAGCTGATTTTATTTGTATCCTTTCCTTGTGCTAACCCATAACGATGAGTACAACAGTTTTTGAAGTGTTCTGTGAGTCCTTCGAAAGCATTACCAAACCCAGGGGTGATATGAGGTACTCTCAAACTTGCAATTGGTGTCAGAAGTGAAGGTAGTCTTATGTGACTGCTCTGTCTAACATGTGTAGTTAGCTAAATTCTAAATTCTCTATCACTCTTATAGTTTTTATTGGACATTATGCATGCTATTTCCTGAATTTGAAACATCCTCTTATATCGGCCTGAAGTCACATAGCCTAGAAATGGTAGCAGAGAGTTTGAGTTAAGGGCACAATGTTGTTGTTAAGTGCCATCAACTCAATTCTGACTCAGTAACCCTATGTAGGGTTTCCAAGGAGCGGCTGATGAGTGTGAACTGCTGACCTTACGGTTCAAACCAGCCTTGCAGTCCAGTGCTTTATCCCACAGCACCAAAGCAGGACTCCAAGACCATAGCAAAATATTGTCTTCAGGGACTTCCATGCACAGTTCCAAATACAACGGTTGGCGTGTGAAGCAACCTGGGGCACAGGCATCAGGTCACTGGAACTCGTTGGCAGAGGCTGTTTCCAGGTCTTCCTAATTCTTTGTGCTTCCATCTCCTGTCCCTTTCATGCTGGGCCTACTTGGAAGCCAGCTTCTTTGTCCAGCTGGCCTTAGGGAATGTGCTAGGATGAGAAGCTGCGGTCTAGATTGGACAGAAGCTGTTTCTCTGGGTTTTCCTTTTCAAGGCCCAGGAGGTAGTGAGTAAGCAGGGGTTACATTTCCTAAGGATTCATTCATCAAGGTCAAATACTACATTTTTTCAAGAGTGGGAGGTGAATTTAATGTTATTTAATGGCAACAGGTGGCTTAAAAAGAAACCTACGGAACCTGGAACAAGTACTTCACTCACTAAATTATCCCAAAGAGGTGGATTGTACACAGCAGCATCTATTCCAATCGTCAGCTATTCTCTTACTTCCTATTCACCTTACGTAGCAGAACGTCTGATGGAATCCAATACAGAGCTCATAGCAAAGAATGACTTGCGCTATATTATAGATGTGGTCTGTAAGCTTCTTCGTGATCAATTTAATTACAAGCCAGTTTTGACTGAAAAGCAGTTTCTCCAATGTGGGTTTGCAGAATGGAAAATACAAATTATTTGTGATATTTTGAATTATGTGATTAAAATTGGCAAGACTCCACTGCAAGAAAGAAAATCAGTTTTGGTGCCATCAAGTCAGTTCCAGCTTATACACAACAGAACAAAACACTGCCCGGTCCTGTGCCATCCTCACCATTGTTGCTAAGCTTGAGCCCACTGCTGGTGCCACTATGCCAACCCATCTTGTCTATGACCCTCTACTTTACCAAGCACAATGTCTTTCTCCTGGAACCAATCCCTGCAGATAGTATGTCTGAAATATGAGAGACAAAGTCTTGCCAGCATAGCTTCTAAGGAGCATTCTGGCTGTACTTCTTCCAACACAGATTTGTTTGTTCTTCTCCAGTCCTTGGACTTTTAATATTCTTCTCCAACACTATAACTCAAATATATTAAATCTTCAACAGTCTTCCATATTCACTGTCCAACTTTCACATGCATATGACGCTATTAGAAACACCATGGCTTGGGTCAGGCTTATCGTAGAGATATAATTTTCCTGTCTCCAAAGGAGACTGAAGGCAAAATATTATTTTCTAATTATAAATGAACTTCATCTGTCTTCT